ACCAGTTCAACGCAGATTCGGAATAAGAACCTTCTTGCTCTCAAACCTCTCTTATTTTCGTTTTTATTTTAAAGTTATCGTTTTCTTATTTTCGTTGTGCGGTTCTCGCAGATAGCCGGTTCCTCTGGAAACTTAGGGTTTTTCCCGAAGTTTCCTTATTTACGATTTATTTGACAGTAGGGTGAAATCGACTCCCACAACATATCAAGAATAGTATGGGTTCAGGGAAAACTAGGGCTAACCCGAATAACCGTCCAACGGTGAGACACCCTAGTCACGATCATCCTTTGAGGATCTTCAAATTCCAAGAAGGAGATGAGATCATTTGCTCTGGATGTGAGCTCGAACTAATTGGGCAAGCTTACAAGTGCACAAAGTCAGAGTGCAATTACTTCTTGCACAAGTCATGTTTCGACCTTCCAGGTAAGACCCTTCACAAGTCTCACCCTAATCACCCTTTGACTCTAGTTCATTCTCCACCATACGGAAAGTCCACTTTCACGTGTCATGCGTGTGGTGAGCATGGATCTGGTTTCACGTACCATTGCTCTATGTGCCAGTACAATGTTCATGTTGGATGTGCGTTTGTCTCTGAGATCGTGGAGCGTGAAGACCATGAACACCCACTCACTCTACTTTACAACACGCCTTGCAAAGGTCGCGAGGATGGTGTAACGTTCATATGTGATGTTTGTGAAGAAGATATGCATGAGAATCTATGGGTGTATTATTGCAAAGAATGTGATTATGGGACACATGTACATTCATGCTCTGCTAATGAATATAATGGTCCAAGGAAAGGAGAAGAAGAAGGAGAAACAAGCTCGGCGGCTTTAGAGATGAAGTCTGTAATGGATGCTAAGATGGAGATGGCGATGATGCAAGCGCAGCTCGATGCTATTGACGCAGCCGGTAGTTACGTCGGTTCATGGGAACCAAGGAGGAGATATTATTGGTGAATTATTATGAAAAGTATGCATCAAACTCTAAATTTTGTTCTTTCTTTGTATGTTGCGACCTTCTTTCAGTGTGGCTTGTTGAAAGATTTCATCTACTTGTTATAAAGATAAAAGAACTGAGCCGTTTGCTCAAAAAAGTATCTTTTACTTTGTTATCTTGTTTATATGGCAATATCAATATTGATTTTTTTTTTATACAATGTAAACAATCAATAATGAAGGTAGACACGTTTGCACAATCTTAAACTGATTACTTACTCTATCAAATACTTTATGACTAGGTAATAATATGTGCCTTGTGAGGAATGAGGTTATTATTTTTGTTACTTTTAAGATAAAAATGATATTATATTTGTTTAGCATGGATATTTGTTCAGTTTTACGTTGTTTTTTTAATGTCCTAAAATATAACTACCATTTTAAATTCTATATTTATTTTGGTTTGTTTGGTTTAAATATTTGATGTTTTTAATTGTTTTGATGATAACGAAAAATATTGTTATTTATTTGGTTTCGTTTTATACAAATTTTAGACATTTTTATGTCGAACTAATAGTTTCCTATTATATTTTCTAAAGACATGTAAAATCTAAATAATATTTGAAGAAAAAGAAAATAAAATTATTAACACAAAACATTTCATTACAATTTGAGCGATAGTGAAAGAAAACATTAAAAAAAAATTCAACTTCAATAAGAATTAAAATTCTCACTTGTGGTGAATATTTAATTATATAGTCGCTCTTATCAATGTGTACATGTAAAAATATATAAATGTGATGATAAATATATGAATATATCGTTAATTAAGATTTAAAATATTTTTGTTCAAAATAACACATGATAGTAAATTTTTAGATAAAATTAAGTAAAAATAAATCAACCTAAAAATTAATAACATTTTTTTCATATGAAGAAAATAAAATTGTACCCGTAAACAATAAAAATAATATATATTACAAAGTGACATCTTCACTTGGTACCTGAATTCTGTTTTTAATCTATTTTGTGATTTTTATTTATTTTTAAAGCTTTTTTTATTTCTGATTTCTTTCTGCCAGTTTGATTTTTTTTTTCTAATTTTTGGTCTAATATGAAAAATTTATAAAAATGTAAATATTTGACTAAACGAAAGATCCAACTTTACGTGTGGTGTTTTTCACCTCAGCTTCTTTAATTTATAATCAATCACCGTATTTGTTGTTATTGTGTACCGAAGTCTCAACCATGACCAACTTCGGCAAGGTACGAAACTTTCAGTTTCTAAAAAAATTTTCATCGAAACATTTGCGTTGATGCGAATCTTAAGATTTTGTAGTTTTTTACAGTAAATATACTATTCATTAGTTTCACGTAGAAAGTTTTAATTTATTAATACAAAGACTAAAAATGTAGGAAAATGAATTAATTAAAAATAGTATATAAACACATTAAATAATGAATTTAAAAATTAGCGTGTGAACGTATTAGTTACCAAATAATTGTGAAGGCGACATGTGTCAGTTATAGTGTAAACTCATTTATTACAATACTTCTCTTTTAATATATAAGTGATGCTATGCAAAGATTTTATGGTTTTAAAGCTACAATTTGAGGTACATATTACTTCATTCACGTGTTACAAAAAAAAAATTAAAAAATTAAAAAGTATTAATTCATTCACTAGGTATAGACACTCATATAGATGGTTCCACGTATAATCGTAACTTCTATTTACCCAAAAAATCAATGGCTATTTGCAAAAATAAGTCAATTCCAAAACTAATCTATTTTTTTTCTTTTTTTCAATTCACCTCACAAGTTTATATTATTTACGAAAATACCATTAGTTTTTTTTCCGATAATGAAATTTTTACACTCTCAACCTTATCATTTTCAACTATTTACAATATTACCATTATCATTAATATACCAACCATCATGAACAACCAATTTGAAATTCTTAATGCATCTCGACTCGATTTACACTTCTTCGTTCTCAATTCTTATGAACTAAAAGCAACATATCTTTCACTTTTTCTCCATATTCATCCAAAAAATCCAAGATTTTGATTCTAAATTTTTTTATAGTTCATAGAGCCGTTGAAGCTTACGATTCTTGGTGGGACACTTTTGTTTGAGATTCTGGGTGCTTAGAGAAGCCTTTTGTGTGCTAAACAAGTGATCTCACTGGTTAAAACTATGAAATCGAGATTTTTTCCGGATCTGTTCGTCTAGACGACTTACCTAGAAGTCGTCAATGTAGATGTTAGTTTTGCAATTGAATTTAAATTTCTTTTTTTTTAAGGTGACTTCCATGTAAGTCGTCCACCTTTGTCTGATAAAAAAAAAACTCGAGACGACTTCCGTGTAAGTCATCTGTGGAAAATGAGTTAATTTTACATTTTGACCGGAATGTGTCAGAAATTTGACTTTTCATGTGTCGTGCAGTAGAAAATTAAAAAAATAATATATTGTTGTACATAGACAACTTACATGGAAGTCGTCTAAGGTTAGTTTGCAATTGAAATATTAACCAAATTTTGTTTTTATAGATGACTTACATGGAAGTTGTCTATGATTTTATTCTGAGATTCTGGTCAAACTTGCTTATCTTGGACAACTTCCATGTAAGTCATCAGACGGACAACTTCCATGTAAGTCATCAGACGGACAACTTCCATGTAAGTCGTCTACAAAAAAATAAAATATTAATTTTTTAATTTTCTACTGGATAACTTATATGTGTAAGTCGTCCAGGAAAAGTCAAATTTCTTACACATTCCGATTAAATGCAAAGCTAACCTGTTTTCCCTAGACGACTTTCGTCTCGAGTTTTTTTATCAACAAAGGTGGAAGACTTATATGTAAGTCTTCTAAGTTAAAATTCAATTAAAAAACTAACCTAAATGGACGATGTCCTAGAAGTCGTCTAGACGACCTCCGTGGAAGTCGTCTGCGTCAATGTTAAATAAACTTTCATTTTCTCTAAACCTATAAAGAATTTTTAATATTTTTTTGTTAAGTCATGTATATTAGTCAATATTAGAGTGACTGAGTGAACTTTATAACTTAATTGGTGATATTTATGAGGTTACCAACATTCATGTTAATTAAAGTTTCTAGGTGATCCGAGAAGAACGATAGTTTTTAAATAACTTGTATTTTTAAGTGTGTTAAGTAATTTCAGGATATGTAAAACTCATATTTTCAAAATATGTTCCCCTTAGTTTTACTAAATTTGACAAATAGTTTCAACACAAACTTGTAAAAAATGTGATATGATTTGACTAGTTATTATTGTTTGTTTCCATCTCATAAATATTATTGTTATAGACACAAATGATGATTATTATTATGAGTTGGAAGAAGTGTCAAATGTTGTATCAATACGAGATTACCAAAATTTTTGTGTATTAAGATGAGAAGAAGGCCATTAGAATTTATTATTGCATATGGAAGAATCAAAAGGATGAGAAGAAGGCTACTGAATTTTATTATTTCACTGATTTGTAAATGTGTAAACACATTGTTAGCACATATATTACATCTTGAAAAACATTGTTACTGATTTTACAAAAAAAAAACACAACTAAAGGAGTACACATGCATACAAATCACAAAATAGACCACAAACAAAACTATTATAGATCATTCCTCTACAAAGACAAGCTTGGAATCCACTTGATATGGATGAAGACTCTATCAGAATACTTCCAAGAAGTCGTCTGGAAGACTTCCTGGAGGAAGTCGTCTGGAAGACTTCCTAAAGGAAGTTGTTTGGAAGATTTTCTGGAGGAAGTCGTGTGGAAGATTTCCTAGAAATCGTCTGGAAGACTTCTGGAAGTCGTCTAGCGCATTATATTTTAGAAAACTTCTGAGAAGACTTTTCATAAGTCATCCAAAGTCTGATACAGATCTGAAAAACATGTATATCAAACTCAAATCTGAAAAACACGTATATCAAAAACGTTTAAATGGCTTTAAAACAGAGAAAATGGGTGGAAGATTAGATAGATATACTTCTATAAAACACACAACATACATATTCAAGCAGTGGAAGATGAGAACCATCTAATTAAAAACTTGTAAGAAAAAATAGATTATTGAGAAAGATATGAGACAAAACTGAAAAATTCATATAAAGTTTGGTGTTTTCAAGTCAAAGAGATTAGAGTGGGTTTGAAGAGTTTTAGTTTGGGAAAAAGGTAAGAACTTTATGCAACAGAAAGTTACCAAATGAAGAAAAATCAGATATAAAAACTTACCAAAACGCTCAAATCTGTTATGAAAGGGAGAGACATGGGAGAAGACTCTGTCAGAAGATTTTCAGAAGAATTCCTGAAAATCTCTAGTGCATTATATTTTAGATGACTAACAAGTAAGTCGTCTCAGATATCTTCTAGATCTTAAAAACCTGCATATCCAAATACAGATATGAAAAACCTACATATTCAAAAATGTTCAAATGGCTTAAAACCAGAGAAAATGAGTGAAAGATTAGATAAATGTACATTTACAGAACACACAAAAATACATATCTAAAATTAATAGATCGACCTTTAAATGATTATTCTTTTTTATTTTTTTTCTGAATAAAATAATATTTAAGCGGCAATAATAAANCAAATACAGATATGAAAAACCTACATATTCAAAAATGTTCAAATGGCTTAAAACCAGAGAAAATGAGTGAAAGATTAGATAAATGTACATTTACAGAACACACAAAAATACATATCTAAAATTAATAGATCGACCTTTAAATGATTATTCTTTTTTATTTTTTTTCTGAATAAAATAATATTTAAGCGGCAATAATAAAATTTTCTTAAATTGTGGGTGGGAATATTAGAACGACTTACATGTAAATCGTCTGGTTTAAATTATTCGAGACGACTTACACCCTAAACGTAACCCCTAAAATTAATTAACAAACTAAACACACTATAAAATCAAATTAAACTTAAAAAGTGTTAACTATATACAGAAATAAACACATATAGGTAAACATTTAATTTTTCAAAAAAACATTCAAGCTTTCCAAAATTCAACCCTAAGAATACATAAATACTACAACATATGTTGTTAAACCCTAAAATCAAAGAATATCATGATCAACTACTTTCCCTCATCTATACTGAAAACTATTCAATTTTATTATATCTTAATTTACATCACCTAAAATTTTTTATAACTAGATGATCTTAATTTTTCACTTTTCAATTTTTTTTTTAAGATTTAAAAACTATTTTAAGATCAACTACATTAGACGACTAATTTGGAAGTCGTCTAGATGATTTTTAGCATCGTAGACGATTTAGACGATTTACTGGGGTTATAGTTGTAAAATAACTTCTACTTTTTTGATCAAGGGACTAGTTCTAATTTTACAAGGCTTTAAAATTAATTTTGTATTCGATTTTAGTTTACGTATAGATTTACATTTAAATCATGTTTTGAATCATATTTGACAAATTTCCCAACTATCAATGATGCATTACCGATCGTAGTTAATTGACCTCATATCTTAAACTACGTCAACTCACATATTATCTACATCTGCAGCTTGATAAATCAATATTTTTTGAATCTTTAAATTACAATTGGTTATTTAATCAATTATATAAGTAAACCAGAACAATAATCCCGGATGTATGGGTTAAAAAAGAATAGTTCCACCTTTTGACTTTAAATTCCCAGTGAGAACTAATCTTATATACATATATAGAAATCGTATATAATCATATTAGCGCGTAGTGACATTATTGTCCCAATATAGTTATAGAAAGAATTACACTAAGGGTCAGTTTTCATGTTTCTAATTTCATAATAGGACACTTTTTGCTCCTAGAGCACTTTGGCACAAGAAACCACACACATGAACTATTAAATTCCAAAACTACCCTTTCTCTCTCTTTTAGTGTCAGCCTTACTGTTTTGTTTTTGTTTATTATTTTGCTCCTTCGGATTTCTTCTTCGTCTTCTTTCTTCTTGTTTATTATTTTTTTGTTTTTTTTTTTGTCAGCACTTGTTGTCTTGTTTATTATTTTGCTCCTTTAGATTTCTTCCTCATCAATTATATTTATAGTTTATGGATGCATTTCTCCGCTCTTCCTTGTCAAATTCCCAAAAAGACAATCACCGAACGAATAATTTTTTAAGAAAATCACCAGCCGGAGACTTTTGGAAACAAACTCTAAAAAAGAGATGATGAAGAAGGTGACGAAGCCGAGTTTAGAAATGAGATGGGTCTGTTCTGCTGGTCCAATTCGTTATTGAACTATGATTTATTGTTTCATGACCTGTTTCACTTTTTTTAGTTGACCTCAGTTGAAATTAGACTTTATGTGATAAAAAGTTTGCATCTTTAAGGATTCAATGAGGCAATACAATTGAAATGGTCTCTCTCACTTGGTGTAGAATTGTTGAAAAATTTACATACTTAAGGATTAAGGCTCTCAAACTTATTATCATTGAGGAAAACAAGTACAAATCTTTTAATTTCATGTCTAAGACTCGTCCCAACATACTTGTTTCCCTATGCAAAAATATACAGAGCTTAACTATCCATGTTTATATTTCATACATTTTGTACACGTGTACACTTAATTTGTATTGTACACCTATTTTTTATTTAGAATGGGTCTCAAATATATATTTCGTTTATTTACAAGGATTTAAAGATCATGAAATAAGCTATAAAAGGAGAAGTAATTATTTGATGGATGTGCTAAAGGAATTGCTATACAGAATTTGGCTACATTACATACATTTTGTACACGTGTACACCTATTTTTTATTTGGAATGGGTCTCAAATATATATTTTCGTTTATCTACAAAAGTTTGAAGATCATGGAAAGAAGCTATCAAAGAAGAAGTGATTATTTGATGGATGTACTAAAGGTATAGCTATATAGAGCTTGACTATCCATGTTTATATTACATACATTTTGTACACGTGTACACCTAATTTGTATTGTACACTTATTTTTTATTTGTAATGGATCTTAAATATATATTTTCGCTTATCTTTGAAGTTTTGAAGATCAGGGAAAAAACCTATCAAAAGAAAAATGATTATTTGATGGATGTGATAAAGATATTGCTATACAGAGCTTGACTATCTACGTTTACATTACATACATTTTGTACACGTGTACACCTAATATGTATTGTACACCTATTTTTTATTTGGAATGGATCTCAAAATATATATCCATATCATCATGTACATTACAAAAGAGTCGAAATCTCAGAGTATCCATGTGGACACTACAAAAAGTGTACAAAAACTAATGTATCTATATAGACATTCATATTCATCAAGAACTAATGTATCCATATCATCATATACATTAAAAAGTGTCGAAATCTTAGAGTATTCATGTGGACACTACAAAAAGTGTACAAAAACTAATGTATATATATGTACATTCATATTCATCAAGAACTAATGTATCCATATCATCATGTACATTAAAAAGTGTTGAAATCTTAGAGTATCCATGTGGACACTACAAAAGGTGTACAAGAACGAATGTATCTATATGGACATTCATATTCATCAAGAACTAATGTATCCATATCATCATGTACATTAAAAAGTGGCGAAATCTTAGGGTATCCATGTGGACACTACAAAAAGTGTACAAGAACTAATGTATCTATATAGACATTCATATTCATCAAGAACTAATGTATCCATATCATCATGTACATTAAAAAGTGTCGAAATCTTAGAGTATCCATGTGGACACTACAAAAGGTGTACAAGAACTAATGTATCTATATGGACATTCATATTCATCAAGAACTAATGTATCCATATCATCATGTACATTAAAAAAGTGTCAAAATCTTAGAGTATCCATGTGGACACTACAAAAAGTGTACAAGAACTAATGTATCTATATAAACATTCATATTCATCAAGAACTAATATATCCATATCATCATGTACATTAAAAAGTGTCGAAATCTTAGAGTATTCATGTGGACACTATAAAAAGTGTACAAAAACTAATGTATCTATATGGGACCCATGTACATCGGAGGTAAGGGAGACAACCCTTGTACACCGTATTATAATCCACATGTACACCTCTGACATGATATCCATGTGTACATCTTGTACCCAGAACAATCAAAATCAACATGTAGATTGAGATAATAAGATGAAACAATTTACGAATCACCATAGACTTCTCTGCCTCTAACATATGTAAGTCCTCTACATTTTATCTTTCGTAACTCAAATCAAATTTCAGTAACATACCAAATTTCTTCTCTTTAGTTTTATCGGCTTCATTATCCCATCTTCGTCGCCTTCATTATCAAATTTCAGTAACGGACCAAATTCCTTCTCTTTAGATTTATCGGTTTCATCGTCCTGTCTTCTTTTGTTACTCTCACCGTCATCTCCTCCGCCGTTATCAATTTCCAAAAGGTTTTATCTTTCCAATCGCTATATGCTCACTTCATCTTCGTCGACGAGGAAAAGAAAAATTGAAAACAATATCGCTTCTCTTCCATACCCAGAAAAAGTAGAGACTGTTGTTAGTCTCTGGTGTTTTTTTCTGTTCATTGTCGACAATTTTCAACAAAATAAACGGACGTCGTGATACACAGAGGAGGAAAGAGAAACGAAAAGGGTATTTTGGAGTTTTTATATGCTTAGATGTATGGGAATATGTGTAAAACTACCTCACTAGTAACAACTGTCCTACCACGTAATAAAAACTTAAAAAGTGACTCTGAATGAAAATTACTCATAGTTATATATATGCTACAACTTGGTAAATAGTCAAACCAAAACGCATCACTACTCCCATCCTGAAGAAGACTCACAATCACAAGTCGTCTAATTATTTTCATTATAAATGCTTTGAAACCCCTTAGCTTAATAAGAATCACAAAACACAAACAAAAATATATATAAAATTATCTTAGCTACAATGGCTTCAAGAAAACCATCCGTGAGACACCCTAGCCACAGCCATCCACTGCGAGGTCACAAAGCCCTAGCTGAAGAAGAGATCATATGTTCAGGCTGTGACCTACACCTGATAGGTGCAGCTTTCAAATGCACAAAGTCGGAATGTGAGTACTTGTTGCACAAGTCATGTTTTGAACTTCCACGTGAGACTCGTCACAAGGCCCACCCTGATCACCCTTTGACCCTGTTTTATTCCCCACCGTACGAGTCCTCAACTTATGAGTGCAGCGCGTGTAGTGAGTTGTAGAAGCCGGAAAATAGGATCGACTTAAACGATATAAGAAAGACGGAGTTAAGGAAACAAATGATTATATAAGATACGGAAGCGAGATAAATCTATTTCCTTAACTCTTAATATTCGCTACGTAGTGAGACGAAACTGTACGAATATTGAGTTCTTGGATACAACCATGGCAGACGAATCACGCTTCACTTGTGAAACGACCTAACAAACTAAAATTCTACGAATACTCTCTGAAAACTTACGCTGAGAGATTGCTGGATTTTTCTGTGTGAAAAAGGTTAGTCATGAAGGAGGAGGAAGGACAATATTTAAAGAGAAGGAGAAGACCCACTTCCCGCAACAACTGCTGCACGTGGACAAAAAACTCGTTGAGATCTCGGGAGTGGAAGCTCAGAAACTTTCTCTGCAAGATCTTCTCTTTTATTTGACTCGTTCAGATCGTTTGCCAAACAGATAGAATTCGTGTTGTTTTTACTCAAACTTCATGCTTTTTTAATTAAAAATGGCGAAGCATTGGGCTTAATTTGGTCCAAAAAAATAACTTCTTATCGGGCCCGACTCCCGAGCCCGAGCCGTGCCGGGCGGACGGTGGTGGCGGCGCACGCGTGGAGAGCTCTCTCTTCCTCTGAGCTGTTTAATTAAGTAAGAGTGAGAGTGCATATATATGCAACCAATTCTCCTTGTTTCTCTCCGATGTGGGACTCTTATTACTTCCCCTTCATTTGTTATGCCACAAAGGCTTAAATTGAGTTGGGCCAATCCCATTTCTTTTCAAGTTTGATTTACAAGGCCCATGGCTTTTTTAATTATCCAACATGATTATGGATCCGGGTTTGTGTACAACTGCTCTATATGTCAGTTTGATTTACATGTCGGATGTATATCAATGCCTGAGTCCGTGGAGCGTGAAGGACATGAACATCCGCTAACGTTGCTTTACTGTTCTCTTTATACAAATGGTTTGGTCTTCCAATGCGATGTGTGTCAAGAGATTGTTCCAGATAATCTATGGTCTTATTATTACAAGGAATGTGACTAGGGCACGCATTTACATTCTTGTGAAGTATAAGAAGAGGTAAAGACAAAGAGAGAAAGAGGAAAGGCGAGTACAAGTGGGAATAAAAGAGGAGGAAGAGGCTCAGCTGCTTCGGAGTTAGCTGCAATGTTGGAAGCTCAAAGGGAGATGGAGAGGATGCAGATTGAGTTACATATGGAGATGCAGAGAGCTAAGATTGCAAAGAAAGCGAGAAAAGCTTGTCTCAAGTTGATCTAATATGTATAAAAAAAGCTCAGAACATATATGTTTCTCTCGAGTTTCCTTGGAGCTCTGAAAACCTATGATTGTTCTTTTCTTGTGTGTTTTCTGTGGTTCTTGTTTTTCATTGTTTTTTTTTTATTTGCTAATTTCATGTTATTTACTTTTGAATATTATTAATCAGCTGAAATAATAGGAAGCATTTTAGTTTTTGTGACACCCCATCATGTGGCTCACAAGCGCTGCAGCGCACCGACCCTAACCCCTCACATGCCAACCCCTCAGCTCTCTCAGGTAGGTTATTGATGCGTTTGGCGTTACTCGAACCCAAGACTTTCACCTTTAACAACTCTCCACAAGATAAGCTGTCAAATCCGGCGTTGGTAAAATCAAAGGTTTGTTCTGGTTTGGACGACTTATTATTAAGTCGTCTGTTGATACTATACATCAGACGACTTACTAGTAAGTCGTCTACCTTAAATATATTTACCAGACGACTTAATAGTAAGTCGTCTAGACCCTAAACCCTACACCTGATATACCATGATTTTGACCCGCTTTTAGCCATGGTATTGATATGTTTTTATAATTTTTATATATGTTTTGGAGTCTATTAGGTATGTTTTCAGGTTCAGGAGCATTTTGGAGTAAAGTGATGATTTAGGTGTCCTTATGGAGCTTAAAGGAGAGTTTTCCGAGATGACTATGAAGATCAGACAACAAGGATACCTATCGATCGATACACACCCTATGTAATCGATCGATGACGCTTCCATAGAAGATGAAGTCAAGATACTCCATAGATCGATGTACACCATGTAACATCGATTGATAGGAAGCGTGGAGAACAAGTCCGACTTGGCGACTTGAAGCCCAAGTTTTCCCAATATTACAAGATTACCCCTGGCGAGTTATTAACCTAATGGAACTAATATTTATAGTCTTGCCTATGTGTTTTGGCTAGACATGCTTTTATTGTTCTAGTTCCTTTTTGTACTTCAAAAGCTTTACATGCTTTTTATATTCTTTGATTTATAAAGTATTCTTTTCATCTTTAATACTCAAAGATTATAGAATTCTAGATTTAGAAGAAACACACAAAGAGATTTGTTGTTCCAAGAACCAAAATTTCAATCTTCTAATCTTATGAATTTCTATTATTACCTTGCTGTTATGAATCTCTTAGCTATGTCTGAGTAGATTCCTTTGTTAGATTTAGGGTTCAAATAGTTATGAGGGATTAGCCCCAACTATGGAATGTTGAGTTGTGATATCTATTATCCAAATGAACCCTAATGCTTACTCTAGAGTAGCTAACTAGAGTATGATCATGGTTGTGACTTAACTTGTTAATCATTGTCCTGAATCATTTGGCATAAGCTTAGATCCTCTAGGGATGTGCGAGAGCCGGTCTATGATCTTGGTGAACACAGTTTCGATTCGATCTTATGCTATATCGATTGATACTCCTATAGAGTCATCGATCGACGGCAACCCATATCGTTCGATATCGCTGTCAAAACATCGCTCGATATTTCCGGCAATAAGATCAATGGATAAGTCTATTTAGTGACTGCTATTAGATCTGTCTAAGAATCAAAGTTCTGATATATCTTGCAAGCAACTTACTAATACATCTGTAGCATTATAATCCTGATTATCTGAATAGCAACCTTGAATCTAACTACTTTCTTTTATTGTTTTAAAACCAAAATATATTCTATTGAGCAACTTATCATTGCTCACAACTGCAATTTACTATTTTTACTTAATCAACCTAGCATAATCACTTAGGATTACATCTTTTGTGTTCCTCAGTTCCCTGTGGATTCGATCCCTAAGTACTACAACTGAACCTCTTATTTGAGAGAGTAATTCATGTTGAAGATAATCATGAAGTTAACTTGGGAATCAAGTTAGATTAATAAAGATAAGCTTGGGAAAATATGATAACTCCTAAGAGTTTGGGAATTCCTAGAGTTTAGGAACTTATGTTATCTATATAAGATATGCAAGAGTATTGCATATGTGTGTGCGTGAGTTTTAGATTGTTTTGAGCTTGAGGTTTTTGAGTGTTTCCTTGAGAAGAGATTAATAAAAGAGAGTTCTTTTATCTGTGATTCAAATACAATCTTAAAACAATATTTGGTATCAGAGCTAGAAAGAAATCGAGAGTCATGGGTGATATTACTACAATCATCAACAAGCCAAAAGAAGGAGGAGCATTGTCGATTAAATGTCCTATGTTGACCACAACAAACTACACTGTTTGGGCAATAAGGATGACGGTCATGCTCAAACTTCATAAAGTATGGGAGGTTGTTGAAACAGAGACAGATGATGTTGAGAAGAATACTACGGCAACTGCTCTATTGTATCAAGCAATTCCAGAAAGCCTAATTCTTCAAGTTGGAGGCCTAGATTCTGCAAAGAAGATATGGGATGCAGTTAAAATTCGACATGTTGGAGCTGATAGGGTAAAGGAAGCCAGACTACAAACCTTGAAAACCGAGTTTGATCGACTTCAGATGAAAGACAATGATTCCATTGATGAGTTTGTTGGAAAGCTCACGGAGATTTCATCAAAATCTGCTGCTTTAGGAGAAGAATTTGATGAACCGAAGTTGGTCAAGAAATTTCTATCAAGTCTACCAAGCAAAAAATACATTCATATTGTCGCATCACTGGAGCAACTTCTTGATCTTAACAAATCCAACTTTGAAGATATAACTGGGCGTTTAAAGGCATATGAAGAAAGACTAAAAGTAGCAGAGGAAGAGACACATGATCAACATCAAAGCAAACTAATGTATGCTAACATGGAGGGTCAATCACAACGTGAATTTCAGGGTGATTTTAGAGGAAGAGGTAGAGGAGGAAGATACTACAACAGAGGACGAGGTAGAGGTCGATCATACTGGGATAGCAGAGATGCTTCAAAAGTGGTTTGCTTCAGATGTGATAAAACTGGCCACTTTGCAGCAACATGTCCAGATCGATTACTAAAGTTGCAGGAAACGGTTGTAGAAAAGCAAGAAGAAACGCAGGAGGCTGATGGGTTGATGATGCACGAGGTGGTATATCTTAATGAGAAAAACGTCAAGCCTAGAGAGTTTGAGTCAAGTATGGATGGAGATAGAATTTGGTACCTAGACAATGGGGCTAGTAATCATATGACTGGGAATCGAAACTACTTCAGACAGATTGATGAAACAATTACAGGCAAGGTCAGGTTTGGTGATGACTCAAGGATAGACATTAAAGGGAAAGGATCTGTTCTTTTCATTAGCCAAGATGGAGAGAAGAAGTTACTTGCAGACGTGTACTACATACCAGCTTTAAAGAACAATATCATCAGCCTAGGTCAAGCCACTGAGTTTGGATGTGAAGTGAATATGAAAGGCAATCTCCTCACACTACATGACAAAGAAGGAAGGTTGATTACTCATGCTAATCGTTCACGAAACAGACTCTACAAGGTTCTCATGGATATAGTAGATGAGAAGTGCTTACAGCTTGATATAACAAGTGAATCTGCAAGATGGCACGCAAGGCTGGGTCATATCAGTATTGAGAAAATGAGACTAATGATGCAGAGGGAGCTAGTACTTGGCATGCCTATGATCAACATTGAAAAGGAGACATGTGAGTCTTGCTTGCTTGGCAAGCAAGCTAGACAACCATTCCTAAAATCAACCATGTTTCGAGCAGAAGAACCCCTGGAACTCATCCATGGAGACCTTTGTGGACCGATTACGCCAACAACACCAGCAAAGAACAGATACATATTTGTCTTAGTAGATGACCACACGAGGTACATGTGGACAATTCTCATGAAAGAAAAGAGTGATGCATTTGAAAAGTTTCGAGTTTTTAAGAACATGGTGGAGCAACAAACAAAGAAGAAGATCAAGACACTTCGAACGGACAGAGGAGGAGAATTCACATCATTAGAGTTTCAAAACTTCTGCGACGAATCTGGTATACAAAGACACTTGACAGCACCCTATACGCCTCAACAGAACGGAGTGGTAGAGAGAAGAAACAGAACCTTGTTGGAGATGACTAGGAGCATTCTTAAACACATGAGAGTACCCAACTATCTTTGGGGAGAAGCCGTAAGACATGCCACATATCTCATTAACCGAGTTGGGACAAGAACTCTGCAGTCACAAACGCCATATGAAGTTTTGAAAGGAAGCAGGCCAAGCGTTAAACACTTGAGAGTATTTGGATGTATTGGCTATACAAGAACTGAGTCTCCTCACCTACGGAAGCTTGATGATAGATCCAGAACACTTGTGCATCTCGGTACTGAACCTGGATCCAAGGCATACAGAATGTTTGACCCAAGTTGCAGAAGAATAGTAGTAAGTAGAGACGTGGTATTCGACGAGAACAAAGGATGGAAGTGGAGTAACTCTGTCACAGATGAAGGAGAACCAGGAAGCTTCACTATTACCTTCGGTATTTTTGGTAACCAAGGAATAAGAGAAACTGAGATAAGAGAAGATGGAGAGGATCACGGTGACAATGTTGAGATTACACTAGCTGAAACTGCAGTAGAAGAAGAATCTGAAGATGCTTCAGAGGAAGTTCACTTAAGGAGATCAACAAGAGCTGTCAAGACCCCAAGTTACCTGAGCGACTATATCTTATTCGGAGAAGAAGAGGGAGAAAGACTCTTGCTTGTCATAAATGAGGAACCTTGTGACTACTCAGAGGCTGTGAAGGATAAGGTATGGAGAAAGGCCTGTGATGATGAGATGGAAAGTATAGTACAGAACAAAACATGGGACTTGGTTGATTTACCCAAAGATGCAAAGGCAATAGGACTTAAGTGGGTTTTCAAGGTCAAACGCAACGCTGATGGTAGCATAAACAAGTATAAGTCAAGGCTAGTGGCAAAGGGATACATTCAGAAGCATGGTGTAGATTTTGAGGAGGTGTTTGCCCCGGTTGCTCGTATTGAGACAGTGAGATTCATCATCGGTCTTGCAGCCTCAAACGGATGGGAA